CCTGTTACCAGGCAGATCCCAGCTCCCCAGGTAGAAACCCCTTGCCCAGGTAAGTGATGCAAGTCACGTAAGCAGAGGGAGCAAGTTTCCCCCTCCCTCAGGAATGCAGCCAGCTCCAGTTCCCTAAAGAGACAGGCTGAGGGTGTGGTCCCCTGTGTGCTGGGCCCACCCTAATTGAATGGTCACAGCACAGAGATTTAAATCACAGTGTCACAGGGCAGAGATTTCTGGGGAGAAACCAAGGTGGCTTTCTGCCACACCCTGAGCCAGGTGTGTGGCCCCTTGCTCTCTTCCCTGGCATGCTGGGGAAGCACTGCCTTCCTGGGAGCCTGCCAGCTGAGTCTGCGCCACTCCCCTGCACGTTTCCCCAGCAGCCTAGCAGCCTGGCTTCCCCAGGTCCTTCCAAGCGAGTTCTGTCCCCCAGAGCGCCCTCTGCCAGGTGAAGTCCAACTCTCTTGCCAGCTTCCCTCAGCCTGCTGGGTGGTGTGGTGCGGTGCTCTGGTGCTCCCAGACCTGGCCGAGATAAATTTTTCTTTCTTTTGGGGCTTGCAGCCAGTGGACCAGGATGACACCACTTGTCTGAGCCCCCTAAGTGCATTTTCCCCAGTCTGGCCTCTCCTGCGGGGGTCTAGCAGGGCCACTCCTCAGCCCCGGCTACACCTGGATACATGTTGTAGGCAGTGTTGAATTGCTTTTTGCTGTATACATTTTTCAGTCCAGTAAGTGTTGCATAACTCCTATGCTCCAATTGACCATTTCAGAATGTTGACAAATTCTGAAGGAAAATGACTGTAAGTTGTATGAATTCTGTGTCTAATACCAGAGTTGTTTATAAAAATAAATGTTCTTTTCCTAACCTTTCACACTATGACATAAAAGTTGAGAGGGGGAATGAATGGATGTACTCCAAGAAGAGGCAGAGGATTAGAGAAAAGATAATGGTAACTTATTTAGTCACACGTGCAGCATTAATATAATACACTGGATACCCAAGGAGATGATTTTTACCATTGGGACTGAAAAATGTTCTTGCATTAAAAGATGTTCTTGCATTAAGATCAGATTTGAAATGTATTGTTTTTGTGTTGATGCCAAAGGCAAATGAAAATACAGATTAAAAAATTTCTCAATTCTTTTAACAGCTGCTAAATATGTCAAGGGAACTGAGCGAGTTAAAGAAAAATCTTAAGGAAGCCACTGCTGCCATTGCAGCTGAGCCTCTAAATATGGAGTCTGAGCCCACATTTAATTCTACAGAAGCAGCCATTCAATCCATGCTGGAGTGTTTAAAAAACAATGAGCTTATTAAGGCTGTACGACAAATAAGGGAATGCAGGCAAGTTTTACTACTGGATTGATATTGAACTATCGTACTGTTAGAAATGCATATATTTGTTAGCTTCCCTAAATAAATGTTCTTCCTTGAAATACTGTAAGTGATAGATTGAGTCACCACCTTAAGATTCACGTTATTTTTTAAGACATTTCATGACAAGCACGTTATTAACCTTTCTGCAGTTATGCTGAAAATAAAGATACCAAATAAGAACATCAAATGAAGGACTTGTATATTTACAATATCAGAGACATTTTGATCCTAGAGCAAATAAAACTGATTATCCTTGTTTAGAGACCAAAAGTACTGCAGTGACACATTTCTGAAAATATACTTGTCAGCCAGTGCCTCAGCAGGCATAAGTAATTGACTTGTATCAGTTTTGTTTCTGTTCCATTATATGTTTTCTTAATCTGGCTTTATAGAACTGGAACTGCAGTTTTTATGTGAATCCAGCACCTAATATTCTAGGCCTAACAAAGAAGCGTACATTGTAAAATGCATTGCTTCCAGCATGACTAGATATGTAAAAAATGTGGTATGTGGATATGTTCGTATAAAAACAACTCAGTGTGTATCCCATTACACAACATACATGTACTTTCCATTTGTTTTACTGCAGGAGTTTGTGGCCCAATGATATCTTTGGAAGCAGTTCTGATGACGAGGTCCAGACGCTACTGAACATTTATTTCCGGCATCAAACCCTGGGCCAGACAGGCACCTACGCACTGGTGGGCTCAAATCAGAGCCTGACCGAGATCTGTACCAAACTAATGGAGCTGAATATTGAGATTCGTGACATGATTCGCAGAGCTCAGAGTTATCGGGTCATCAATACTTTTCTTCCAGACTCCAGTGTGTCCGGCACAAGTCTCTGACAGGAGCCTTGTGTCCCCTTTCTCTTTCAAACTGGAAGTGCTGCCCTGCTGGAGTGAGGTGGTTCAATGTCTTCTCAGCTTTAGAAAGGTTTGGTCAAGCTGTACTCACTCTTGTTACATATAAGACTTCTAAAAAGAAGTGGGCAGACCTTCAAATGTGTAGCAATACTGTCAGGACAAAGGTAACATAGAACATCCAAGACAAAATCCTTTGTTCTGTGTTGCACAGAAATTGGTTAACATTTCACTAGACAACTGCAACTCACTACTGAAGAAGTGACTTCCATTGCATACCAAAGCCTACTACACTGAACGATACTTCCTTTATAGCAAATTAATTTTAGGTTGGCAAAAGTGCAATGTTTCCGCCACTAGAGAATATTTTTTTTGTTTGTTTAAAAAGAAATCCTTGTACATTTTTTCTTTCTTTTCTTTTCCTTGTTTGGCTGAGTGAAAGATGGGCAGAATGAAGCTGGCCACAGAACATTGAAAATGTGTTGGTCAAAAGCTGAGAGCCTTTGTAGATGAAACAAATTGTAAATGGACTACAATGTAATGTACACTGTAATTTGAATATGATTACTGTATCTTAAAACAATGAGCTGCTATGAAATACATTTCCTAATGTTGCTAGGCTACTGTCTCTGAAGGTACTGGATCATATTGCAGAGGTCTGTTCTTAGGCCCCAAGTATCACGAATGGTCTCGGTAGAGGTTTTTTGTTTTTTTTTGGTTGTTTTTTTTTTGGGTTTTTTTTTTTTAAGACCTCAGCTGCTTTTTACTAGAAGGTTGCTTTTATGAATATATTTATACTATTAAAGGATGGTTGATCTAATTTAACTTGCCATTTTGTAGGAGAAAGTCACATCAAAGTCAAATCTTTTGAAGTATTACGCATGCATATTTTTATTTAATATAAATTTGAAGTATAAAAAGTAAAAATATTAAACGTGAAATGCAGTTCTTATTTTATTTGTAATATATCTATCTATCTATCACTATAGTGATAGATAGATAGATAGATAGATAGATAGATATACATTCATAAAGTCATTCTTGTATTTTTTTCCCCTTACATGTAACTACTGTCTGGTGTTAAATGTGTGCATGTAAACCTGTTGCACATCTGAAACGCTTTTATTCAGACAATCTGTAACTTATTCACACTGTAAATACACCTCCAGTTTTTTGTGAAGTAACTTTGGTTGATATTTTGATTAGTACATTCATTTAACTAAAAATATAAAACTCATATATTGCAACCATGTACGTGCTAAGTATGAAGCTTTTGTCCTTGACTGAGTCTAGCATTGCTTCAAGATCAACAACGCAGGTCACTAAATGTTACAATTATTTTCTCCTGAAATGGCTAAAATGATTACCCTGAAAGAAACTGGTGGAACAGACTGTGAAAACATCTTCATGCCATTTCTCAGTAATAATGCATCCAGGGAAGAGCAAGTAAGCTAACTGTACATTATAAAAAAAAATAAAATAGTTTCTAAGATTTCTGTTTAAACTGCTCTGAAAAATGACTGTGAATGATTGTATAAGGTTTCATCCTTGTGTCTCAACGACATGCATTACAAGCTCACTTGGCTTACAAGCAAAAAGCTAGCAAAATCAAGCAGGTTCTTCCTCTCTCCCACCCTGCTTCCCCAGCCACAACTACCCCTTCAGCTTGTACCGTTGAAACTAGCCTTGCCACTAAATAGCCAATTGTGTTGGTACGAAAAAGGCACAGCATTCATTTGACATGTATGTTATTGCAGGTCTATGAGTTCTCAAACTTATTCCAGCTGTATGACCAGACAGAACACAGATGAGTGATCAGCTGTTACGCAAGATCTGCCACTACTTAACATTTCCTTTAACTCTGCAGTTAGGTTAAGTGTCAGAAAACAAGAAATCAAACCTCAATTGAGTTACTTCCCAGTACCATTTAGAGTAATTTTCATTGGAAAAAACGTTTAGTAATTACTTTACTGAAATCAGTTTTAGCCTGCTCCTTTTTACAACCCTGAAATGCTGTGATGAAACAAATGGGATCCAAATGTCATGTATTTGAATGTAGAATTAAATGAGCATTTAAAATGTTTGTTTACTAGTACCTAGTTCTCTTAAAATTAATGTGTATATAATAAAGAGATAGTGAACTACTAAAGGTAACCGTAAAAATTCCAAAGATATATCATCTTAATAGTAAATGGGTAAACAAGGAATAAGTTATTAGTTACTTTTAAGTATGTAATTTTTCCCCTTCAGATCCTCACACTTGATAGACTGAATCAGTCCCACAAGAGTAGCCACTCCCAATACCATTTCAAATTAAACCTAAACATATATGTTCCTTTCTAAAACTTTGACTAATAGGTTGCATTGAAATAGGTACAGTCATGAAAAAGGTATATTATTTCATAACATTAACTTAAGTCAATTAGTGGCTAATGGTCACAATACTTGAAGAAATGTAGGTTTCACCAATTACATCTACATGAAATGTTTCAGAGAGTAATGAATCTCTTTTCCCCATCTAGGCTTTTGGTGGGAGTGGAAGAGTCCAAGGGTCTCTTAACTCCTTTACTGCAGAGTTATTTACTACAGTTCTTGACTACATAGACAGACCTTATGCTATTTACAAATGAAAGGGTCTCTCTTATTAGATTTCCTTTGCCCACTATTTTAGGCAAGTTGCCAGTAGATCTGTACTACTGTCTATTAATCTGACCCCCTGCCTTATTGAAAAGTTACAATCTATTTTTTTCCTTAGTGAAGCTTCTTGATTTCCACTAACTTAAAATCCTGATTTTCCTAGCAGGGCCAAGGAAAGAGGAGTTTCAGGTGCTAAAACAATGGAATTTTTGCTACCAGAGCTACAACTGGGTGTTAGGGCCACTAAAGACAAGCCCAAATATCACCATCCCATAAGTTCAGAATTCCATTCCACCAATTTAAGGTTTCATTTTCATATTAGATTTTATTAGCACCTTAGTAAACATTTCAGAATTAGTTGAGATTAAAAGAACATTATCTGTCAGTGATTTGTACTGAGCTTGTTTAAGCCTTCTACCATAGTCAAGGTTTGTTTTAAAAGTCTCATCTTACCCTTACCATATGTAGACTGAGCAGTAGTCCTTACACTCTCCTAAGAATACTCCATTTTCCTTACAAAGACTATCCCCAGGAGTCTAAGCAACTACTGACCACACGTGAATTTATAACTAGCCTATAGAATCTATATTAAGTTGTCGTGACGTATACTGAAGTGAGTGACTGCTACCATTTCACTGAATACAGCTTTGACTCTGGAGATGCATTTGCCCCTCCTCTCCCCCCCCCTTTTAGAGAAAATAATCTTAGACCAAAAGCCTTGTTTCTGGTTTTGTCAAAACGCCTGCCTTTCAATATACTCCACTGTGATCAGTATATTTTAATTACGTGACTAAGTCAACACCTTCCCCATTTCAGAAAGGCAAAGCAAAAAGTTAAGATGATTCCCACAGCCAGCCTAAGAGGTACAGACCATTAGTATAATAGCCCCAAAGCCCTTTCTTTTCAGCAGTAGAAGCTAGGGGTAGAGATTAAGATGGTTCTCATCCAGAACCCTAGCTTCTGAGCCATCTCTTCTAGCTCCCTTTTCATTATACATGTGCTACAGCACAGCCTCACTGCTCCCACATAGTCTTTTGTTCAAAGGTATCCAAAAGAGGAATTTCCACCCCAGCAGGAATAATCATGATGATCTCCATTCTAAAGAAGTTTTCCCCTAACCACACCATGACAAGTTAAGAGGCAGAGAACACCAGGTGCAAAGTTTTATTGAAATTGACTTACAATTAATACTCTAGTTATAAATTAGTGTTATAAATCGTACCAAAAAAATAATAATCTTTAATCCAATATTCAATGCCTGGTCAAAAGCCTAAAGTCAAAGCCATAGTACAAAAACTGACAAAAGTGCAGAGTGCAAAATACAAAAAGGCTCAAGGTAAGAGAGTCAGGCCATGGGATCAGACAATGTATTTAAAGCTGTAAGTATTGTCACAGGATAATCTCTTGCCTTTGCAGCGGCCACATAGTTCTTGGCGGTGGGGTCTCTTGAGGTCAATGTGTCTTTTCTTCTGTGGGCAGGAGCAGTGAGTCTTTGAACAGGTCTTGGTTAGAGGGAAGAGGACAACATTTTGTTAGAGAGCAAAAAGGGAAGGGCTGCTGAACTTCTTACTTTGGTTTCAGCAAAATGAGGCGGTAGAGAGGTAACCACTTCTACACTATCCTGGCATTCTTGCCCTCATAGGTCAAAGGCAGCAAGTGCTCAAAAACCTGGATTAAAACACACATTTATGTTTAGTGCTTAAAAGCAGTATGTTGCCAGGAGTCTCCTGCAGAGTTTGTGCTCCAGAGCCTAGCAATCTTCTAGACACATTAAGGCCCCAAATCCTACAGACATTTACTTAAGCAACTATGTCCAGAGGAGTTTTATAGAAGCGCTGCAAACAGCCTTGGCAAAGTGCAAGTATAAGGACCTCTGATGCTGGTATCCAAGTAGCATTTCTCCCCTTTGTCATTCAAGCAGACTTTAAAAACAACCAAATACCATACACCAGCATACACAAGACCATGTCGGTAAGGAATAAGAAAGCACCAGCTGGGAACTCTGTTTTTACAGGCAGTTTTTCTTCTGCAAGGGAGGCCTGGGCAATATTTCCACTGCTGCTGCAGGGCAGCCTCTAGAAATGAGCCACAAGAGGGAGGAAGAAGGTTGGTTAGTCAGTGCTGACCTGAGTTAATACAGCATCTAGGCCAAGAAAACATTTAAGGCTTACACCCAAGTGGCAGCAGACTAAGGGCTCCTGAAGGGGCCAGGGATGCTAGAGGAAGTTTCATGAGCACACTCACCTGGCACTGGATGGCTTCCACTTTGTAAGGATTGAAGCCCTTCTGGCATTTCCGACAGAGCTGCTTGAAGTAAACCTAAGGAGGTGGGAAGTGAGCCCATTACCACAGGGACCTCCGACACAAAGCACAGGTTGTCAAGACTGCTGTCTGAGCTGGCGGGAGCTAGAGGAGTCGAGGAGGGGAGGCGGGGGTTTGGTACCTTGTTACTCCCAGAAATGCACCAGACGTAGGCGCTCTCCCAGCGGGTTTTGCAGTCCTTGCAGTGGAAATAGCCGTATTTCTGCTCCAGGAACTGCACGCGAGACACGGCGACGCTCAGCGCGGGCAACCACCCGCCGGCCGGGCCTGGGCTCCGGCGCCCCGCTCCTCCCTCCCGCCCGCCGCGCACCTGGAAGGCGGATCGCTTGGCGGCCCCGTCCGCGGGTGGCGCCTCTCCCAGCGCGGGCGGCTTCTCCGCCTCCGCCGCCTCCTGCTGCTGCTCTAGCGCCTCCGC